CGCAGCAAGGAGCAGGAAGGGCCTGCAAGGAGAAGGAAGGGAGCAGAAGGTCGCAAAATAAGCAGAAAATAGCAGAAATGTAAAGGAGCCAAGGAGGAGAGAAGGCTGTGTCAGAAGAAAAAGAAGACTGTGTCAAATGAAGGAGAAGAAAATGAGATTGGAGCAGGAAGGACAAGAAAAGTGATCCTTCCACATCATTGGCCTTTGGTACCTGGGCCTGGCAGGGAAACTTTGGACCTTCTCATCTCCCCAGGTAAAAAAAAAAATATATATCAGTGTTAATGTGTTCACTTTTATTTACTGAGTGTCAGGAAACACAGAGAGCCGCTGGGTAGGGGAGCCACTGATTGGCTAGAGCAGTCAGCTGACCACTCTAGCCAATCAGCGGCACCCATGCCTGACGTCAATCTGCACTTCCTGACACTCCGTTTCAGAAGCCGAATACCACTGAGCGACCTGTAGATCTGGAACTAGAGGAAGCCTTTGGGGTTAAACCATGTTAGAGCGGTTTCACCCCTTAAAGGAGAGAGAGCGCCCAGGGGCCTCCTTGCATCATAGCATTTTCATTTAGATGAAGTTGTTATGATGACCAGAATGTTCCTTTAATTTGATTAAAGGAACACTATAGTGTCAGGAAAACAAACGTATTCCTGACACCATAGTTGTGAAAATGCTATTCACCCTGTCTTTATGTGATAATGACTATGCTCCTCCCCTTCATGACACTGTCAAAAATGGGCCAAGCATGGATGTCCCCTTGAAAAATAGGAACAGTGTCTTATGAATTAATAAACTTAATAAGAACTTATTATATTTTAATAAGCTTCAATTGATGTGATCAGTATCACATATAGTGTGGAAGTCCCAAATATAAAGTTCAAAGTAACAGTCTTTCAACTTATCTCAGTTTGATATTGATAAAATATATGCAATGTTAGCTTGCATCAGATAGTTCCCTATCTGATACAAGCTAAAATTGCATGTATGGTAGTGTCTTTTTACCATACAATTTCATTCTCATCCATACCCAACCATACCCACACACACTTGCATGCATTCAGATCCAATGACACACACAGATACCAGGGCTGACCCAATAAATTTTTCTGCCTGGGTCCCCCAAAACAACTCCACCAAAGCATGCCCACATTCATTATATTGAATTATGATAAACGTTCCAATGATCAAGGGGATAAAGCTCCAGGGTAAGACTATTGACTATGTTCGGTAGTTTGTTTTTAAACTACTGAACTAGACCGACCGCAAGCCCTGATTCTCTGGAACTGTTTAGGGCGTGGGACCAGGTGGGCGGTTGGTCAAAATTAAGACTTCTAGGAATTACCTGAATCCCTGAACTGATCTGGGTGATTTTTGGATACGTTGGTCACCCAGGTCAGGGCTATAAGGGGATGTAACTTTGATGGGGTATTTATGTATTTTTAGGGTACTTTTTGGGGTGTTTGGGGAAAAGTGTGTTTTTTCTGTGCTTGGAGATAATTGG